ATCTTTGGGATTCGGATTTGTTCGCTGGTGCTCCCGTCCCCTCCGTCGCTGAATGGCTTAATTTCTATTATATAATCTTCATCCAAAGGCAGAGACAGCTCCACCGATGTCTTGTTTGTTTCGATGATGGATGTGCTGCTTTGTCTGTTCCATCTGTACAGGACCTGCCAATACAGAAGGAACAGGTGTCACCTGCCGTCCTCACAAAGGCCCCAAACACGGGCCACTTGTTCGTTTCCCCCTCTGGCACCAGTGACAGGCAGGGACGCCGAGGCTGTCAGGCTGCCCACACGCATCTGGGAGGCTCACTGCGGAGCGGGGCCATCTGCGGCCTCCATGCATGCGAGGAGAGAGATGGAAGAGTATTATTGCAGCTCCGGGGGGGTGGCCTCGGGCTCCCAGCGGGCCGCTGGTCTCCCGTCACCTCTGGGAGGCTCAGGGAACACACCCGGGAACACGAGGCTCAGGGAACACACCTGGAAACGCGACTTCCTTGCTGGGGACGCACAGAGCTCACGTACGCGTGAGAGGCTTTGGCACCAGAACACACTTCGCGGCTACGTGATTTTACTTACTCGACCACCCTGAGCCTTGTCTCCTTCACCTGTGAAATGGCATCAGGGACACCCACCTTTCTCGGGGGCTTCCAAGATCGCACAGGGGTCGACCCTAGTGAAGGGCCAGGGAGCGGATGGGGCGAAGGCCAGGTCAGGGCGGGCACGGGACGCCGCCATTGCCGTGGTCCCTCTGGACGGGGGGCATCTCGGCAGTGGGGGAGGGGCTGCCTCCCACCGGGAGCCCTTTCTGAGCTGCGTGGGGAGGAGGTGACACAGTGTGGCAATTGCGTCTCTCCGGCAGCGTCTGATGCTTGCAGCTGTCCTGCTTGTACGTCCTTGCTGTCCGCCTCCAGCCCCCGCCGCTCCCAGTCTGGGGTGGTGGCTCATTTGCTGAGTCGGCATCGGGGACCGCCCTGGAACCCACACCAAGGCCTGGAGGACCTGACTCTCCTGAAACCCACTTGCCAGCCTGGCACAGCCTGCTCTGGTCGTCACCAAGTCCGACAGGAGGAGACAGAGGCCTGCAGAGGTGCCCCAAGCGTGTCTCCCCACCCCCCAGAGTCTGATGTTCCCGTGGGCCGTGCTCCCCCCTCACGATGACCGCACAGGATAGCGTCATCTCTCTTTTCCACAAATGAGGCAGACGGGGCCTGGCGAGGCCGCGCACCTGCTAAGGGGCCAGACAAGGGGTCCTGACTAGAGCCACTGTGCCCGCCACTCTGGTGTCCCCGACGATGTGAAGGCAGCGTCGGATGAGGCCTTGGTGCTCGGTCCTGGCTTAGGGGTACCGGCGCCTGTGCAAACACCGTGCCCCCAGCCTGTGCTGTCCGCAGGCGGGAGGCTGGATGAGCACATCCACCCCTCGGGGGACGTTTTTGGTTGTCACTGCAGGTGCTACTGGTGTAGCGAGTAGACGCCAGGGAAACGTCCTGCGATGCAGAGGACAACCCAGCTCAGCAGAGGGACCCTGCTCTAGCTGCACCCCAGCACCCCTGGGTCAGACTCTGTGGGGGTGGGGTCCAGGCTGTGGCACTTTTAGACAAGATCTTTGGGTGCCGTGAAAGTGGCCTGGGCATCACAGATTGAGCTCGAGCATGCATCAGAACCTCCCGGAGAGCTTGTGGAAACAGATGGCGGGGCCACGCCCCCGTTTCTGGTCCAGTGGGCACGGGGCGGGATTTAAAATCTGCGTTTCTAACACGTCCCCAGATAATGCCTGTTGCCGCTGGTCCGGGGACCACACTTGATAAGCCGGGGTTAGAGACATAAGGTCCTATTGCAAGAGAAACCAAACTCAAGTGAAATTCATGAAACTCCCTTAGAAGAGTTTTATCCGTTCCCTAGCATTTCATCTCCGTAATTTACGTCCCTCCAACACACGGTAGAAAACAGTTTCCTTCCAGTGGAGAGATTCAGCAGCACGCCCCGTCCTCCTGCAGAGCCTCCGAAGCGTGGGCCTCAGCGCCCCTCGGAAATGGCTGGGCACCGAGCCATCCTCAGGCGCCTGCAGGGGGCTCAGCGTGTCACCCACGACCTCCAGGAGCGCGGGCACGTCTGGCTTTGAGGAACAAATGGCTTCTTTGATTTGCCTCAGGTTCTTGGCTGAGCACAGAGAATTCAACTAGTTTCAGATACAAATCCGAAAGGAACACTTCCAGGAACAAACAGCCCTTCATCGGCATTGCTCACCAGTCCCCAAATACTGGGACCGCAGGGGGAGCCACACGGAGCCCGCAGAACCTTCACATGAGCCTGACACTTGCTTCAGCGGATAAAGCTGGAGGCGGCGCTCGCATTTCCTACGGTCCAGGTCGACGATGTGGAGAAACACTGGATCCGCGGGATAATGATAATAGCGTCCAGCGGTCCTGGGTGCTCGCCATGTGTTCGAACCCCGCATGTTCTGAGCGCTGACACGGCTACCTCTTAAGGGAGGCACAGCTGTTATTCTCATTGCAAGGATGGGGAGCCCAAGACTCCGAGAGGCTGAGCCACGGCCAGTAAGTGCGGGGCCGGCAGGGAGACCCCGGCGTTCCTGCCCCACGGCCGATGTCCTTAATGGAGACCGGCTTGGCCAGCACGGCCCATTCTGGGTAATCGCGAGCTCTGCAGTTGGTCACAGCCTCCAGTACTTCCTACTGCGTCTCACTGGCACGTGCCAACCTCAGGACCTTTGCACGTGCTGTTCTCTGTGCTTAGAAAAAGGTGCCTATCGTACCCCCTCCTTCGCTCATGGCCCAACTGGAATGTCACTCTTCACAGAGGCTCTCCCAGGCCTTTATGCAAAATGGTAAGCCTCTCCTGTCTGTCCCACGGCACTGTCTCGTCCCTCATTCTGAGTTATCCCTCTGGGTAGCACTTGGCGGCCATTCGGTGTATCTGTTTGCTGCTGGCAGGCAGAACAGCCGAGTGGCTAAAAGGTTGGACTCTGGATCTGCCCATGTTCACGCCCCAGCGCTTCAATGTCCCTGCTGAGCTTACAGAACTGTATCATCTACTCGAAACTTGCTAAGAGTAGATCTTAAATGCTCTCAGCACAAAACAATGGTAGCTACGTGGCGTGATGGGGCTGACACCTGGCAGGGAACACGCTGCAACATTTAACTGGATCCGATCAGCGCCTTAAACTTCCACAGAGCTGCATGTCGTCTCCCAATAAGAATGGGAAAAAATATACTGTCTCTGCGAAGCAGGCAAGTTACTGAACTCTGTGCCACGGGGTGTTCATCTGTGAAACTGGGGCCCCGGACGGCACCTGCTTCGTGGGTTATTCTGAAGTTAAAATGAACTAGAACAGTGCTTGGCACCTTCCGACAGGATGGAGTCGACATTACCTCTCATGTCACCTGCCGGGCTCTGTGGGCGGGTTCGTTTGTAATAACGAAACCAGATGTTCTCCCATTACCTTGAGCGCTGTGAAGTTGCTTGAGGATTTGTGCTGGCAGAGTGTTCTGGGCCTTAAACTATCTAAGGTCAGCTTCTTTTTGAGACTGTTTACCCGAGCATAAATCCCGTGAATCTAGACAATTTAGGTGAAAAAGCAAAAGTATATACGCACACACACACGTGTAATTTTTAAAAACTTAACCATCGGATTGCACGTGTAGCAATTCAATGCCTACAGGAGCCAGTTACAGTGAGATCCCTTGGGGTCTCCATGGGGAAGGACTGACTCGGGATCGAGAAGGCTCCAAAGAGCCCCTTCCCGCCACCTGCTCCCACCTGTCGCTCCCTCTGCCCTCTGCTGTCGGCACCTGTGGTTGGTGCAGCTTTTCATGCACGTGACGCCCATCCATCGGTGATGCTTCCTTAGATACAAATTCCTAGCTTGGAGGTGTCCCTAAAAGCACCTGTGGTTGGTGCAGCTTTTCATTAGATACAAATTCCTAGCTTGGAGGTGTCCCTAAATTCTTCATAGATGTAGTTTAGATCCACAAGATACGATGAACCAACATGAAAAACCGTATTTGCGAAAAATACCTGACTCTCTGGCTTAGATGGATTCCATCCCCTGACCTGCTGCTCTGATCTGGAAGGTTCTCTGGCTGTGATGCGTTCCAGGCTTTTCTTCTAGTTCTCGGGAAATCAACGCTGTTTCCCCAGTCCTATTCCAGGCCAGCGGGCCTTCGCTGGGAGGTCAGCGCCCCACGTCCATCGTGCTCTGTTCTCTGCCACCGTGCCCTGCCCGATTCTCTGCTGCTCGCGTGCACGTCGTGTCTTAGAGGTCTGCAGAGGTGTCTGCCGAGCTGCAGAACTATGTGGGCCTTCTGAGTGCTACCCAGACGGCTTCTCGTGCACGAGGTCCTGAGAGCTGGCAGGAGTACGAAGAAGTGGCAATAATACTTAGATAATGCTCGTTCCCAATTTTTCTTGTAAAAATGCCTATTGTCTTTCAGCTCCTGGTCAGCGAGGTGGACTTCAGCTTGCGTACAGATCCCGGCCCAGGGAAGGCTGCGGATGCTCGAGGCCCTTGTGGGCTTCACCCTCGCATCTCGGAGGTGAAGGGCTTTGGGTCAACGCCCCGCGGGATTTCTAGCGGAGCTAACACCTCGCTTGGTCGCCTGAAATGCCGTAGGCAGCTCCCTGCCTTTCACGGCATTTCAGCACCAGCTCAAATACGAGCTCAAAATCTAGTGAAAGGTGCGCCCGCGGGACTCGGGCCCCTTCCCAGGCCCCCCCACAGCCTTCACACTTTTATTCTTGTCTGTCTGCTCTGATGGGCGAGGCTGGGAGGGATCACTTTTCTATGTGTCTTTCATACCCCTCCTTGGTTTGGCGGAATCGGCTGAGCCCGGACCATGTCTGCATTTGCCTCACGTGGTGATTAAGGTCCTGGCTGGGTTAGCCCGGCTGCAGCTCCGAAGCTGCGGGGGTCTGTTTCCACCGTGGCCATCCATCTTAGACTGTGGCCATCCATCTTTCTCCACCTGGTCAGCCCTCGAGTCTTCCGTCTTCCAACTCGCCCAGCCCCGTGTCCCTTGTCCTGGGTAAAACTCATCAGATAGACTCTTTCACATTACTTTACACCAAGAGGCTAACGGCTTAGGAGTTCGGGAGGCGAGGGCCCCCACAGACACGTACCCTTGGCCGGAGACATCATGGTGACAGTTCAGGCACTGTTCTTCCCTTGAGGACAACGGTCTGGGGATTTACAGCAAGTCATCAGCCAATTACGATTACCCAAGATGATAAAAAGCACTTCATAAAATGTGGTAAACAGAGCGTTCTAGCCTAGGGAAGGCTTGTGTGAACTCAGACCTGAGCGGTGAGTGGCCAGTTAAGGACATGGCAGGAAGGATGGAGGTCCCAGGGGGGAGGGACAGAGAAGGCTCGGGCGGAAATGAAGATTCTAGAAAGTTTCTCTTTAGTCAAAGAGCACGTGCAGTCCAAGAAAGGGTGCGATTGGCCTCCGGTCGCATCGCCAACGAGGATCGGAGCGTGGTCCCCTCGCCCTCTGTTCTCTGCCCCCTCCCAGAAGATTCCTTAACAGGGGCCAGAGAAAGAGCTGCAGGTTGGTTCTGAGGACCTGCTTCTCTTCCTGCGCACTGAGCCACTGCCCCGCGGGGCTGCAGGGCAATCTGCCCATGGCGGGAGGGCTTGCTGACACTCCAGTTGTAGCGCCTGGGGCCCTGTCGCCTACGACAAAGCACCCGGGGCTCTGCCGCCTACGACGTAGCGCCCGAGGCGGCTCTGCCACCTACGACATTAGCTTCCAGGTCCAGCTTCAGCGACGACTTTCCATCAGTCCCAGGCTCCTTAATGAGGACCTGGCACACAGCCTCCCCAGCACTCCGCACAGCTGTGGCCAGAGCCGCACATGCCAGCAGCCCGCGGGCCGCACTCGGCCCGCAGACCTCTGGTTCAGCCCGCACCGCATCGACTTAAATGTTGTTTAAAAACCAAACAAAACAAGATTGGATGAACTGCCAACATTTTAAAACTGCAAGTTTTTTTAAAAAAAATAAAAATCCACTTTTCTGCTATCACTTGAAACGCTGGAGGGTCTGTGGCACTGTGCCTCCTTGTCCACAGGGCAACGAGGCAGGGAGCGAGGAGCAGCCGGCACGCGTGGCAGAGCACACGCCTCTCGCCGGCCAGACTCCCCGCCTGGCCGCGAGGCTCTGCAATTTGCTCGTTTCCCACTTATTCTGTGGTGGGCGAGAGACCAGGCCCCAAGGCTCCTGGAAATGTTGATATCCAAGATCTGCTACTTGAAAACATTTGAAAATCATAGATTTGATTTTGAGAATGTTTTCTTTCTAATAAAAAACTATGGGAGAGATCATTAAAACTGACTTGCAAATTTTTTTTTTCTTTGAGGGATCGATATGAAACCACAGGCAGTCAGGGCATCGTCGCCACAGCCCAGTGACAGCGGTTTCTCAAAAGCCTCGTTTTGGTCACTTACTCATAACATTCCAGGACTGGGCAGAATTCAAAATGCCGTAGAATTTAATTGTCCACACTGCGTTTCCTCCGTGACATCTCACTCGGTACAATCCAGCGAACACTCGGTTACTTCCAGTAACAAACAGCCCTCTCCGCCTCCCTTTGAACTGGGCCCACGTCTGAGAGCTTTGGCTCCTAAAACATGAAACTAAGCCCGTTGTCACGCACACGCCGCTGTCACTCACTGGCCGCAGTTCCGTTCCTTGGCGGCAATTCCGTTCGTGCTATCTGAAGTGGCCGCCGTGTGCCAAGAGTCTCCTGTCCTCCAGCTCAATGTCCTCAGCGACTTCATTCACTCTCCACACATGGTGGGGGGGGCGGCCGCCAGGTCACGTGCATGCCATGGCCAACAGATGGCCGCCCCCGAGCCCCTGCTCCCCGCACCCCACGCTGCCCTCGCGTGAGAGGCAGAATCTCCCTCCCTCCCTTCGATGCCCAGCTGGCCCGACTGTGGCCAGGCACAGCCTGAGCCTCTGAGAGGACTCCCGCCTCCGCTCTCGTTGGGGCCCCCGCCGTGCAGGAAGGCTGACCACCCCGAATGCCCCAGCCGTCCACACGGAGAGGCCTCGGGGGGCCATGAGCTGTGCCGACCCTCCCAACCAAGGAGCAGGTGGGTGTGGAGAAGCACCTACGTCACCCCACCCCAGCAACGGCCCGTGCGACTCGGTCGGGATTACTAAGTCACGAGGACTGACTCTCGCCTGGGCCCTTAGTTTCGGGCTGGTTGCTCAGGGCGCAGTTAGGGAACCGAAGACACGGACGAGACGTTAAACGGCTCCCTCGAACGGTGACGCCCGTCTCCATCCTTTCTTTTTCTAGCTCTTTAAAGACAGGCTAACACTCATGGGATCAGGCACGCGAATTTTCTTAAAAAAAAAAAAATCCTTGCTTCAGTTTCTACACATAAATCTTCTCACCCATAGGGTCGGGAACAAAAATGATTAAGCACTCGTGATGCTGAGGAGCTATTCTGTCGATGAAATAAAAACGCCACCAAGACAAGAACAGAGCCACATGGACAGAAACGCCAACAGCACGGGTCTTCGGGGCTGTCTGCTCACGTGACCTGGGGGAGCCTCGCCAGTTCTGACGGACGCTGCCTGAGCATCAGTGATCCGCCTCTCTAAACCCCGGCCCGCTGCCAGGGACCGCCTGTCAAACTCAGAACGAACCACCTGGGGGCAATTTCCCGAGGCCAGGAGGGTGCTGCCAGGGACGGGGAGGAAGCCCACGGTCCCGACGACTCATGCGAAGGGACCGTCTCCACTAGAGGAAGGATTAGGGGCCTTTGCAAAAAAAGTTACCCACTTTGTAGCCTTTCACTTCCGACTCGTTGTCCAGGGCCTTCACCTGGTCCCAGTTGAGGATAATTTTGGAGTCCGATGAATTCCATATGATGTTTCCAGGAGGCTGACTTGGTGCTGTAAAAAAATTAAGATATACGAAGTCACAGATTATTAAGTCGCCATGGAGGCTGAGGAACATCTCCTCACTGGAATCCGAGAGTGGAGGCAATTTAATGGGCTATTGCCCTAATATGTGTCTTCAAGGTCGCTAAAATCTGACGACTTCAGGCATCGCAAATGGAAAAAGATTCAGTTGGTCGCCTAACATTTATAGCTAAAAGAAGTGGCCCTTCCCAGTGAGGAGAAAAACATTTATCTTTCTGTCCTCCACAGCGCTGAATTCTGCACGCTATTCAGACAGGTTTGGTTAAAATGCTAAGGTAAATTTGAATCCGCAGAATGGTACCCATTAGTATGCAAATGATCGCTGGGAGGTGGGGACAGAGAACGAACTTGGGATGTGTCTGAGGAATCCCTAAACTACTTCCGAGCACGGCTGTCCTCACGTGGCTTTCTGGTTGTCACGTTGACGGTGGCACTGGAGGGGCCTGTCCCAGCAGTATTGAACGCCTTGACGGCCAGGTGATACAGCGCGCTGCCTTGCAAGTTGGTGATTTTTGTCGACGTCTGATTTCCAAACGTTCGTATTTTTCTAGCGTTCTCTTCCTTGTCGTCGTGTCTCCAATATTTAATCTGAGAAAACAAAACGACAGATATTTCCATCGTCATCAGGTGATACATGTTTCAATACCGATTCTGATGACCGAGTTAATTTTCTGTAACGATTCGTAAGCAGAGCTTCAGAACCCAGAGCTCTGTATGCTGCGGGGAATTACCCTCGGTGAGAAGGGTCCCTTTTTGTGCTCGGGTCACAGCGAGATGGTGACTGCCCCAGCCGTTCTTGCTTATTTCTCAATCTTTCTCTCCTCCCTTTGTTCTGAGCCCGAGTGACCGTGGGCTCATCAGCAGGCCAAGTTCATCTGGACAGCCAGCCTATAAGTGCTCGGACCTGCATATATTTTCAGACGCATCTCTGGAGGGTGTCGCAGAAAAGGGACATTCGGTGCCTCCGTGGAGGCCTGGCCTAGACGAAGGCCTGTACGTGGGGATCTGGGCCCTTCCTGTCTCGGAGATATCACTGAGCGTCGGGATCTTTCAGACCCAGGGCCCCGACCCCCGCTAACCTCGTAACCTTGTACCCGTCCTCTGTTCTTCTCCTTGGCGGAGGCCCAGAAGACTTCGATGTCTGTCGCAGAAAGACTTCTGGCAGAGATGCTGGCCGGCGGTTTGGTAGGCTCTGCAGAAGGGTAGGGAAAAGGTTTTACTACGTCAGCTGCATCGGGACGGGCCTCTAGGGACCAGCATCACGAGGTGCAGAGTCCACGGTGATAGGGTCGCCCTCAGCGGCATTGGTCTAAACCTTCGTTTTACAGAGCAGCCCTGAGTGACAGCAGGAAGGGGGGAGTGATGGCAATGGTGATGAAGAGACTCGTCCAGAGCCTCGGATTCTAAATTTGGGGGCAGGTGGAGGAAAGTCCCCCGGAACTACTTAAGTCGAAGCCCCAAGTTTTCGTACCCAGCAATTCCTTTAACATGCATCCTTACTTAGCATTTGTCGCAGGAGGGATGAGTAGTCACTGGATTATGAATATGAGAGAGGAAGAAACAAGAGTCCAGCGACTTGACAGGTTCGGGACGGCCGGGGACAGCTCAGCCCCACACAGCGAACTGACTGATCTCGGGCAAGTCAGCCCCGCCCCCTGTGCCTCAGCTGCAGAGAAGCATCTGGACCAAGACTGTCTCCCAAATTCACTTCGTTTTACAGGATTTTCTCCAAAACTGTGTACCATTTTTGTATATTAATATTTTTCTTCTAGCGGTCCTCCTTAAAGAAAAATCCGGCCGCGTCATGAGCAATAACGTTCATGAAATCCTGGTTTTGATTTGATAGCTGTATTTTTTTTCCTAATGCAATTCGAATCCACGTAACCATTAAATAGCTTTAGAAGTGCATCTGGTTCCATCTCCCAGCAGCCCGTGTCCCCCCTCTGGAAGGCACGTCACACTCCAGAGAGCACTGGACAAGGCAGCCCCAAGGCCCTGCCTGTCTGGAACCACGTACGCGTCTACTTACGCGTTCACTAATTCAGCATTTACTAAGGGTCTGTGTGTCACACGCGTTTAGACACCAGTGACACAGAGGCGAAAAATTAATAGCTGGGCCTTAAGAAACACTCCTCAGCGAGGACTTAAAGCTAAAATCCAACATGCACAATCACGGGATGAGCGTCACAACGAAGAATGTGAAGACCTCAGGGGCGAGCGAAGCGGGAAACTCAGCTGGCTTGGGGACCCGAGAGAGGGCCTCGGCGGTTCGCGCTGCCTCTGGGAGGGTGAGGGTGAAATCTCAGGCGGGCACGACAGGGGGCATCAGGGAAGTGGCGGCAAGCACGTGCCTGGGGCTCGGCTTGGCTGGGCAACCGCAAGTCCCTCGGCTGGGGCTGGGGCGTGGCGTGTGCGGGGATGTTGCAGGAGCTGGGGTAGCACGGGGCGGGGGGCTGCCAAGTCTAAGGGGCTGACTTCTCTCTCTGGGGGGGGGACTGTCACATCCCCATCTACTCCAAATCAGTGACTTGACTTTCAGATGTCTTAACACAGGGTCATTCTGACCATGACCTTGAAAACGATGAAGACGCATTCCAACGCTATCGAAGGTGCGAGGGGCCTTCAGAGAGCGGGGGTCACCCAGGGGCAGCGACAATACACAGAATGACCCTGGGGACAGCGACGAGAGCTGCCACGCTGTTTCAGGGCTCACTCCTTTCTTTAATAACAGAATAACTTCTAAGCACAACATGATTTATAAAAGGAAAATGGTGCGAGGAAGTGCAGATTATCTTCTGATATTCATCTAACGGGATAAGGTAGAATTCTTTCGAGAGTGCGGATAACATGTAAATAGATGCGACCATCTTCTACGGCGCCTGCAGCTTTGGTCCTTAGCAACGGACTTAGCCCTTTGTTTTGATCCTCCGGGGACCGGATGTCTCTCTAAGAGACCGCTGGTGGTCGATGAACCACATTTTTTACATCGCACGCCCCTCACATCACAGTATGCCCTGGACTTATGGGTGCGGCGCCCAACCGAGTGTCTGTCCTAAAGTCGGCCTCTGAGAATGGCAGAGCCGTCGCGAGTCCGGGCAGCGGGACCCGTACCTTCCTCTGCAGAGTACACCACGGTGGTGGCGCTGAAGGGGCCTTCTCCTCTGTTGTTGTAGACGCCCACCCTGACCTCGAAGGGGGAGAAGGGGCGCACGCTCTCGTTCCTGAACACGTATCTGCAGGCGTCGGCCGAGGCCAGCACCGTCAGCATCCACACAGCTGTGCCGTGGGGCCGGAAGGCCACCACGTAGCCGAAGCCTCTGCCGTTCTGCAGCTCCTCGGGGACCGTCTGGGGGAGAAGGGAGGCTGAGAAGTCACGGTGACGCGAGGCAAACGCAGAATGCTTGCCTCCCCCCGCCAGAACATTCCGAGCTTAGGTCCCCCCGCCCCCACCCACCGCCCCAACCTATCTGATCTCGGGCTTTGTCAAGGGCCTGAGATCCTGGCCGGCCATTGGGCTGCCTCAGATATTCATGACGTAGCGGAGCAGGGTTAAAACAAACAAACGAATAAACGAACAGCCCAGAATGTGCAGTGGAGAGCGTGGCGTCAGCTCCCGATCTGGGATAGCTGGAAACGACTACGAGAAACCCTGGCAGTTGATCCGAAACCAACAGCTCCAACACGGACCCTCCGCTGCGAGGCCTCGTCCAGCGCCGCACAGACTAAGACCCGAAGGAGCAAGACCGTCTTGGCCGAGCCAAGATGTCCCCTCTCAGAAGCGGAGGGCTGAGCCGGTGACGGACTCTCTCCCTCCGCTGGGGCTTTGGCTGAATGAATGATTTTAACTTCTGGGCTGTGGTCTAGAATCCTTCGAAAACATTAAGAACCCTTTCTCAAACTCCCACCTCCTCTCCCAGAATCGATTTCTATAAATTAGTGACTAATCTTCCTCCAGGTTGTTTAGAAAACACCTCATAGACGAGAGCTCCAGCGTCAAAGCTAATTGCCAGGAAATCACGCTGGTTCACTGAATCTGTTGCTGGCAGACGTTTTGAGTCAATTGGCCATGGAGCAATTTGGGAAGAAAGGCAGAACTGGGGTGTGTGTGTGTGTGTGAACTGGGGTGTGTGTGTGTGTGTGTGTGTGTGTGAAGCAGGCTGCCGGGCAGAGCTCTCTCACACACACACACACACACACACACACACATATTTTTTTTCCTCATGTCATCTTCTCTTTTGTGACTGTTTCTCCTATGATGCAGCAGATTAAAACCTAACTCAGCAATCGGTGGGCAAGCACCATCTTCCCCTGCTGGCCGTTAGCTGCGTGAGAGGGAGTGTTTGCACGCAAATGGATTTCAGCTGACAAAAACAGGGGAGGAACCTTCCCAGATATGTTCACACAGAGGGAAATAACAAAGCAGCCTAGACTAACGCATGTTCTTTCTGTCCTGTGATTCATTTACCTCCCAGGTTATGACCAGCTCAGATTTGCTGCCTCCACCACCGCTGACGTTAGCCGGGGCGACTTCAGGGACTGCAGAGGAGACAGGAAACAAATCACGTCAGGTGGGACGGCGAGCGAGGGCCTGGCTGAGGGGGCCCCTTCCAACAAGTATTGTCCTTCGAGGTCAGAAGCCATGTGGCCGAGGGGTCGAAAGCATCGCCTTGAGGAAGCAAAATGGACCGAGCAAACGGCTGCTAGTCCCGTTTCCCTTTCAACAGGTGCTTGTGTTATCTGACGTGGGCGCCCACGCGCTCGGCTCCGTCGCTCGCGGCTGGGGTCCCTAGCGGCTTGGGCAGGCGTTTACGGACCCCGTGGTGGCACACAGGCAGAGACGCACACGCGCTGCCGGGCAGAGCTCACGATCTCACCGGAGGGGGACAGCGCACGCAGAGAGAGCAGCGGCAGGACAACGTGGGTGACACACAGCAGGGCGCAGACAGCACGGGAGCACAGTGACGTCTGCGGACGGGCTGCTCGGGGCAGGGCCGGCTGATGGCCCCTGGGAGGAAGGTGGGTTCTGAGCTGGGTGTCGAAGGGAGGGGTGGACACGGGTTGACCCCTGGCTCACTGGGCTTAACCTGTTTGATCCCCCGTTTTCTCTGTGAAAGAGGGGACGTTATGCTAGCTTCCACCTCAGGATTGCGAGAGGCGTCAGTTACGGTTTTGGGGGGTAAGGCCTGGGGGCCGGCTGTGTGATCATCGGCGGGTGAATAAGAGACTCTAGGTGGATTGCGGCCATGTCTGGCTGGGGCACGTCGTGGTGACCAGACATGTCCCCTGGGGTAAAGCGAGGATGTGGAGGAAGACTGGGCATTTGAGAGGACCACACACAGCGTGTCCCCCACACGGGGCCCAGGGAAGGGCGGGCACCGACCTGCCACTGAAACTCGTTGCCAGGGTGTGTGTGTGCGTGCATGCATGTGTGTGTGTGTGCATGTGCACGTGTGCACGTGTACACATCTGTGTGCATGCATGTGCATGCGCACATGCGCACACATGAGTGTGCGCATGCGCGCATGTGCGCGCACACATGCATGTGTGCGCACACGCACATACATGTGTGTGCATGCACGTGCACATGCATGTGCACATGCGTGTAAGTGAGTGTGTGCGTGTGTACACGTGCATGTGTGCATGTGTGTGTATGTGTGTGCGTGTGTGCGTGTGTGCGTGTGTGGCTCGGTGACCACCAGCCAGGGACGGGCGGGTCGCCGGCTGCGGGTGGGGTGGCGGGGAGGGCGTGAAGCCCCCTGACGGCCGTGGGACCGGCCCCCAGCGCTCGGCTACTCACGGGCCTCCTCCGTCCTGCGCTTCTCCGACGGCCGGCTGGGCTCCCCGACCCCGATGGCGTTGGCCGCGACCGAGCGGAACTCGTACTCCACCCAGGGGTTCAGGCCCACCACGGTGGCGGTGAACGTCCTCCCGTCGACGAGCTCGGGAACTGAAAGACAGCAGAAGGGCTTCCTGTGGGGGAGACGGGGACTTGCGTCCGCCTGTCCCCGTCACCAGGGCACTGCGGGAGACCCAAGAGTGGACAGCTGTCACAGGTGGGCGGGTCATCCCAAAACTCCGCCCCACTGGCGGCTCAGACATCCGTGGGTGACGTCACCAAGGACACGTCCTCGAGGCCCAGAGCTACTTGGCCGTGATCGCTGTGACCGTGCACCCCGTCTCCAGCGCTGGCCGCAGAGCGAGGGGCACACTGATGAATCCAGCCTATGATCAGGGCACAAGGACCATCTTCGTTGCTCTGGGGAGGGGAGGCGCCCCACAATGGCCGAGGGGCTTCCCGAGGCCGCGTGGCTTTGCACCTTTGTCTGCCCGAGGGCTTGGTTCCAGCGCGATGACTTACTGTCACAGCGGGGTCAGGACTTGTGTGCCCACGGTCCTCCTGTTGGGACTTGGGGAACACACCCAAAGAGAGTCGGATGGAAGCACAAACGGGATGCCTGGAGTGGGGGGCACACACAGTGGGGTCAGGGGGGCAGAACCGGCCGGGCCCACCCAGCAGCGCTTGGGGACGGGCTGCTCCATGACAGGGCATGGCCCTGACGTCACAACTGTGAAGCTCTGATGCTGCCTCCGTGCTCGATGCACAGCCTTTTGAGTTTTAAACTGACGACCATAAAGTTTTGCCATTGGACCCAGAATATGTGAAGGGAGGTCTCCTAGGACAAAGCTGAGGCCACCGTACTGGGGACCGGGCTTCAGTGACACACACAGTTCTACTCTCAAAGGGGACATGCAGGCTTTGAAGTCAGACCCCCGGGATCCCAACCCGGAGTCTGCACTTGGCAGCCAAATGACCTTGGGCGGGTCGCCTAACCTTTCCGCCCGTGCCCCGGTCTCCTCGCCACGGTACGAGCCCGGCAGTGGTGCGCGGTCCCGGGGCGTCGAGAAGACCCGAGAAGAAGACCCCAGCAGAGCGTGCGGCACACAGGGCTCCGCGAGCCCCAGCGGCTGAGTCCTGACACGTTAATGGCATCGCCATTGCCTTCGCCCCCCTTCCTCCCATCTACGTGGCACTTCCTGTTTCCAAAAAAGCTTCGCCATCGTTTCTCTTGGGCCGTAAACAATTCTCGTCATGCCCGTTTAACCAGAGAGGAGATCAAGGCGTCTTGAGGCCCGCGGGCGAGCAGACGCAGGCCGAGAATCCGTGTCTTCCAACGCCCAGGCTTCCCGTCTCTCCTTCCCCAAACCCTCCTGCGATGCGGGAAAGTCAGTTTCCAGACTCAGCTGGAAACGCAGGAACCTGCTCCCAGGGTCGGACGAGTTAAGATGAAGACAAGACTGGGGCTCTGGAAACCAACACCAGTCACGTGACTGCACCAGCTCGGGCCCATCACTCCGAGTCACGTGACTGCACCAGCCGGAGCCCATCACTCCGTTTACTTCCGCTTTAGGACATCGAGGCCGCACAGCCCACCCTTGGGGGCTTCAGGGCTGTGTAACTTGCTCATGACAACTACTTCTTTGTCCAGTTTTTTCCTCAAGTGAAACTTAAATGAAATAACAAAATGAGTCAGTTGGGAGCGGTTGACAGGGCCAGAGACGGGATGGCCAAGTCACGTATTTTTTTTTCAACAAAACAAAATCTCACGCCTCTGCGTGCCCAAGATGTCCATCTCAAACAACGGGTGGCAGGTCCACAGCCTCTGTGTGGGTCGCGGTTGTCGGTTCCTCGACAGCAGTGTGTACACTCTACAAAAACTGCCTGCGGGGGAGCACGAGACACTGCTCCCCAAAGCGTACCATTTGTGGTACACGGATGGAGGCATTTGATTTTTGTCACTAATGTACTTTATAATGATTTTCATAACTAATGTACTTTGTAATGTGCGTTAAGAGAAAATATAACCAAGACAACAGACCTATCATTTCACAAACACTATTGCTCAGGATAAGTTAAAAAACAAATACACATGAGCTGATACGAAGCAAAATATTTTCAAAAACCAACAGTCCCGTTGTCTGAGGCCCAGGCAACACCGCAATCATGTGTCACCTGGAGCTGTGCCTGACCGGGAACCCAGATGCCCTCGGCGTCTGCCGCGGGCCTTTGTCCACGATGCTGGGTCAGGAGGCCCATGAGATGCCAGGCCGAGCATCAGGACGGTACCTGTACTGACTGCTTGCCAGCCCACGGAGAACGGAGTTCTGGCTTGAATGACGTACATGGTGATGGGGCTGTGGTTGTCGGGCCCGGGTCTCCAGGAGAGCTGAGCGGTGGTGTCTGTGATTTCATCTATGGTCACAGCCTCTGGGGGGCCTGGAGGACCTGCAAGACAGCGAGACCCTCAGAACTGGAGCTGTGTGCTGCGTTCGAACGTCCAAGTAAAGTGATCACCTAATCGAATGGGGCCTGACGCCTGCGACCGTTTGTGCACTGCTCTCGGGTTCGTCACCTGTCACTTCTGAACACCTACCAGGTGCCCGCGTTCTTCCAGCCTCTAAAACCATAGAGAAGAATGAGACACGGCCCCTTCCTCCTGGGAGCTCACAGTCTAACGGAAAAAAAACTCACAGGTCGAGAAAGAATGGCCAGAGAATGGTCATTCTAGATGCCGAGAATTCCGGGGTACCACAGGGCCCACATGCATTCATTCACCCATCACCTATTTCCAGCTTCCAACTATTATCTGGGGACACGGCAGTGTTAACTAAAGAGGAGAGGCTTCTGGGAACAGTTTTGTTCCTACCACCGAGGACGTGTGTGTGAGCAGAAACGGTGCCAGAACTTTGGGCTTGAGGTGCTGCCCTGCACATTCCCGCTGCATGTCCTCCTGGCCCCGTCCCCCAGCCGCTGTGAAGGTGGCCGGTGCTCGAGAGACGCGAGACGGTGGCTCCTTCAAAGCAGTTCCCAAATCGGGCTGGGGCCTCAGGGCCTCTTCTGCAGTTTCTGCACATCTCACCTGGAGTTTCCTATTTGCCCTCATCGTTTATGCTCACGCACCTGAACTGTTGAGATGGGGGAGCGTTTTTAAGGGAGGCTTGGAAATCGTAAAGAAACGGGGGGAGGGACCGCGGTCGGTCGGCAAACCCCAGATGTCAACGGCCAGAGCAAAGATGCAAAGCTGCCCTAGAGTGAGGAGGTTCACTGCATTTCTCAGGAGGCGCAGCTGACCTCCTCGGGGGACAAGGTGACTGCGGGGGACACAGGGGGACGACTTGGGTGCCCATCGCTCAGGCACAAGCAGCTGTTCCCAGGAGGGATTTGCTGCGCCCAGCACAGCAATCCGAGGACTGCCAGGACACTATTGGGCGATGTCACAAGGGCCACAAGGGCTGGGAAGAAGGAGACCACCCACAGAGGTGACAAGTTCACAGCAATTGCCTGGAGTAAAACTCTGCCCTGTGATTCACTCCTGAACCCTTTATGTGATGCCCTAAATTTCTCTTTCCTTCTTTAAAAGTCACTTTTACAGACCCACAGGTGAGACTAAATTTATCTGCTCCCTCCCACTCCGGAATGAAAGGTCTAGAAATCCGTGTGCTAGAACGGATTAATTTCCCACGGTGACATTTCAGCCTGTCAGTCTAAATCCACCTCCGCAGAACTGAGGTAACCTTTGGTCTTTGGGACCCTTGTTAACCAATAAAGTCCAGAAGACAATACACTCTTTTTTCTCACCAACTTTCTCATCCTACACGCTCATCTCCACCCTCGCCCCCTTTTTTTAAATGGCTGCTCCTGTGATGTCCTTTAAAATCAAGGCGCCAGAAGCAGAAAACTCCTCAACGGATTAAACTGTTAGTAGCTGAGCCCATGATGGGCATCTGCGTAGGAAGGAAATGCAGGGGCCCCGCGAGGAGCCGGGACTTTCACGGCGGTTTGCTCTTAGTCATGCTGCAGCCACCCTCCCCGCCCCGCCCCCAACATGACCTTACAGAATGTTTACGGGCTTCGTTTTGGGGAAGTGGGGTCCCTCTTTCAAAATGACAAAATGAGCCAATGTCTCTTTATCTTCCGAACAGAAAGTTCACTGGGCCGGGGGCTCTGTGGGGTTTTGTCGCGGGCTGCAGCACAGGGGTGTCGTTGTGACTCCGGAGTCTCTGGGTCTCGCTCAGGGAAGGGAGGCCTTTCTCGCCATGTTAGGCGGCTAGAGATTAAATAGTGTACATATCGGAGAGTGAAGGAAGCCAGAGCTGGGCTCATTTCCAGGACGAACGTCTCTAACGTGGCAGCGAAGGGCTCTCCTGCTCCCCCCGACCCCCACAACATGTGGAACCGCCGCGAGGGCAGAGCTAGAGGAGATAAAACGCACGATTATGGTTTAAAATGGCATGTTAATTTATCGGCCTTACTAACTGATTAGACTAGATTTTCTTTTGACCGCGTCTGCAAATCCCTCCTGGTATCTAACGCTATTTTCTGTGAAATGAAGTATACGATATCATTTAAGAACTTCAAGTATTGCTGATTTAAATATTTATTAGTCTAATTTATTGGTGTTTAAACTGCTGATCTGAACATTATCCTAATTAAATAGAGGATGGATGCTCAGCAACAGAATTCTTTTGTCCCCGAGGGGCCCGCAGGCCAGCTTCGGTGATGGCGACAGCCACCGAGAAAAGGAGTAAACACGTTTCCATAAGTTATTCTCTGGGTGGCTCTGCCCGGGTCGAAAGCTTTTCCCCTTATCGCCTGCGTCCTTATCTGCAGCATCACCCGCAGCTTTTTTAAGCAACTTAAAGGGGAACCAAGGCAGACAGGATGGAAAAGCTATTTTTGGCTAACTACTCTTGCCAGCGAGTTTAAGCCGCTAACTCCCACGCACTCCCCCTGACTCGCCTAAAGGGACAGCAACATTTTCTGTAGCTCCCGAGAACACTCGTCTATGCACTGATTCACCCGCCTCCGAATCTGAGCGTCCCTGGATTTTACCTTCTTGCACCCTAGGTTCTGCTGGCCAAAGATATCTACGCGCAATCGCTGGGGGCTCGGGGGAAGGGGACGCTGGCCAGAGGTTACTTTGATGTTATGAATGGCTTCATGACGAGACCCCTGAGTATGCATCGGTCTGATTCTGGTGTGTATGCCAGTTGGCAGAGATTATTTTAATTAAAAAATATTCCTTAAAAGCCCATGCACTATTCCTTTATAAACCCTAACCCTAACCCTAACCCTAACCCGTCGTGGCTCAGACAGGGATTCACAGCCATCGGGCTGAAGTCAGGCCACGCTGTTTGTACCCACGAGATTCGCGCAAACAGTTTTTACATCGACTCTCAGCTTATTTACTCCGTCTCAGGCAGTCAGAAGCCTCTCTTGAAAGCTGTCTTTTAGGAACTAGGCAGAAGTATTAGCTTTAGAGACAAAAATGGAGGAAACTGGGAAAAGCGGGTGATGATGTCACGGCAGCCCCTGGGGGCTGCGGCCAGAGCCCTCACTGGTTTGGCCGGGATGAAACAGAGAAGGCTCAGCCTGAGTCCCCCGCGAGCCCTTTGCTTTTGTTCCCGCAGAGCTGTTCTAGGCCAGCTCCACGGCCCGCCCAGGGGTGATTTTCAGTGTAAAGTAACTGGATTTGCTCTGCCTTTCCCGATGAACTCCCGGGAGAAATCGATACACACTTAACATCCACAGACTGTTAAGTGCTATTTACAACATTTAGCCTCTGCCTGACCGTTCCTCCACAATGCCGAACTGCTGAGGTTTTTAAAGCTCCGTGCAGGGGTACGTGCCACGAACAGGTTTTAAGGACAAAAGCCAAACTCCTGTACCTCTGACGATGAGGTCCGCGGTGGCGGACAGCCGGTCCACACTCGTCCGGACCGTGCAGACGTACTTCCCAGCATGCTTCAGCTGGATGTTTCGGATCATCAAATCGCCAGCCGAATCCTGCTGATAAAGTAGGGAAAAGTGGCTACAATTAGTCTTTAATGAGCTCTAAATATCGTTATCTCAGGAAGGACACTGTGACTAATGGATTTGTTTTACCCTGGCCGATGAAAGCGTTAGCGATGCGAGCCGTGGCCGATGAAAAATAGGGCGCTGCCCAAGAGATTAGGACAGCGGCATGTTCAGAACACACCTCGGACGAGACTCATCTGGCTTCCCAGGCCCCTGGACTCATGCCACCTGCGTTGGAGGCGCGTAAGCAATGTGAGGTGGTGCCCGATGCAGCCCCGAGGGTTCCTTCACACTCACCCTCGGCCCCAAGCCCTCGCTGGCATTCCCACACCTGGGAACCCCGTACTCGGAGAGGCGGGCGTTCGGGGCATCTGTGTTTACTGTGCAGCCCGCCCCGAGCCAGCGCTGTGACCGCTCCCAGGTCTGATAGAAGCCCCGAGGGACCAGGCCCCTGTGGACGTCTGGCATCGCCTCGTGTGCCATGGTGGCATCTGCTTTACATGTGCTGAGGGTGAGTTTGATGCGCGGGTCTGCAGGACTCGCGGCCTCCCGGAGTGGACGTCTGCGGGCCCCAGAGATGCTTCCGCGTGTTCGCCAGCGTGGCGCTTCTGCCACACGTGGTGGGGCCTCCGCAGGCCGTCACGAAGGCAGCATCCACCCGGAGTGCGGAGCGTGGCTGCTGCAGCCGGTGGGCACCGTGGCGTCAGGTCCAGCAAGCCACGCTCCTCTCTGAACCCCCAGCAGGTGGCAAGATGACTTGGGTTTTCCCGCCCCAAAGTGCAGATCCGCATACTGCCCTTCCTCCAGATGACGCCACGGGACAACGCGCCCTGCCGCGTGCCGTCCGGCGGGCATCCGTCAAAGCTCCGCCTTGCTCTTCGCTGCATCGGCTCGCTGATCGCTCCCACGTCCGGGCGAGCTCACTCCCGCCTCCTTCGTTTGTGGATGAGGAAATTCAAGCACGAAGAGGTTAGGTGACTTGCCTAAAGTCACGGAGCCAGCGAGTGGCAGAGTCGCGGTGGGAACGCACCCGGCGAGCCTCAGCCCTTACTCTAAGCGTGACGCCATCCTGCCGCCCAGAGAGCCTTCGTTCCCACGCGAAGTCCCCATGCTCCTGCTTCCCTTCGCTGTCCCAGCGTGACACACCGCACTGTCCCCAGGTCAGTGGGAGACACGGAACTGCCAGGAGCTGTGGAGAGGACCCGAGGACAGGCAAACACCGAGAGTGAGGACGGAGCTGACGTTTGGGGACTTACTGTCCCGGGCTGACCCCTGCTGTGCACCTTCCCGTGCTCCTGACTTCTCTGGGCCTTCGTGTGCTGACCTGAGCTAGGTTGTGAGGATCAAATAAGATCGCGTCTGTGTGCACATGCGTGTGTGCGTGTGCGTGTGTGCGTGCGCGGAATCCCCGACAACTGTGCAGCACAGAGTAAACGGAATCTGGTATTATCGACGACCACGCTCCATCACGTCCAAGTCATTCAACCTAATTCGAGAAGAGCTGTGATTATTTCCCTTTGACCCGAAAGCTCTTTTACTTATAACACGTGGTTCCTCATCCAGTTTCCACTACGTACCGCTCAGTACAACCGGACAACTGCCACCCGATTCCCCAGGTGTCCGCGAGCATCGAAGAGCCGACGTGCGCGGACGCGGCTGATTGGTGACCTCTGGGAGCGTAAGGGACCCGCTGCCATTATTGTCATCGCGACTTCTTTACCTAAGACACTTTCCGTGTTTGGACTTCGAGCGCAGATTTCAACGAAACTTGTGCCTTGCGAGGGCTGTGTGCGGGGGGGCAGGGGGCACCGTGTCCCTGGTGAGGCTGTGGCTCCACGATCGCGATGACCTGCTCTGTTTGCCAAGCGTCTGGAAGCCGGACACACCTGCGGCCTGGAGGTCTGAACGCACGGCAGCCCGTGGACGGGATTTCGTGACTGTTAGGAGTGTGCTCTTTCTTTACACGTTTTGACCAGATCTGTGTTTTCAAAGTCAAGCGGAGACAAAGAGAAACAAAGGCAGGACTGCAGCGTCTCGTGGGACGGGACCGGCTCAGCGCTCTCGTTCCCTCTGGAGTCGTGAGACCCGACCGGCGACTGGATCTCAGCTAACGTCCCGTCCGAAGAGCACGAAGCCGCGCCGGGCGCTTTCCCGCTCCGCTCCGGGCGCAGCCCCGGGAGGCTGTCAGAGGACAATGACATAGGAAGTTTTCCAAAACGTGCGATCATCGGCCGGCTGTGCCCGGCGTCCTGCCCACCGGGCGGACCCAGGTCGTGGACATGGAGAGAGGGCCGACGTCAGAACTGCTTCCGCCCCTCTTCCCTTGCCAAGTGCCAACCGCTGATGATCCTAGTGGTTGACACTCCGCCCTGACACTCGATGGCGCTGTCCTTATGCCGTAGTGATAGCTGGTGGGCTAGTACCAGCCGCACAGAGGGGGCGAGCGCGCGAATCCGCAGATTGAGACCACCACAGAGATGGCCAGCAGGCCTGGCTCCGTGAAGCGTGTCTCCACCTGCCCCGCCTGGGCTGACCTGCGGCCAGCCCAGCGTAAAGGCCACCTCTGTCTGACTGGCAGAGCACGGGTTGTGATCAGTCAGGCGCACCTGTTCCTATTGATTGGCACCTGTGCCACTCTAGAAGATAACATTTGTAGCATCTGTCCTGCCCCAGGCACTGACGTTGGCATGAACGCAAACACTCTGTTGAATTCGTGAAGGTTCCCTTAGGTCACACTGTCCCACTATCAAATGCTGACCCCCTTCCTTCAGTCGATGCAAGAACTGAGTTTACCAGGTCCCTGGCTGTGGGCGGCGCAGGACCAGATGCTCTTCCAGACGCGACGCCTCAGTGCCCTGGTGAGGCAGCCACCCTCTCTCTCGCTCCGTCAAGGTGATCAGGCTGAACCGTGTCCGAGAAGTCTGGGACAGTTAACGCTGGCAGCGTCATGCGGTCTTTCTCAACGAGGGTTCCCAGGGAGGTTCGCTGACGATGAGAGACACCCGTTCACACAATGAGTTAATTTCTCTCCCGTGCAGCCAGCGCGGTGTCCCAGTCATACATGGTTCTCGGGAGAAGTGAGCAAACCGTCACTCGAATCATTTTTGGTGTTTGGCGACTCAGCCGATAGACACTGTTGGCGGAAGGCAGCGAGCATGCGACAGGGGTCGGACCCCATTCGAGAGGAAACGGGTCCTCCGTTGATACTGTGTGGGGACCGTCGTGAGCCATTTATCTCAGCGTAAGGGCAGGGGTGAGATGGGGCGGGCGAGTCAGTGTCATGGGCAGCACGGGGCCCGGTGACGGCGTTTCAGCCACGGCCCCGTTTTCATACGGTTAGACCCCTCCACGCGCACGGCGGCCAGAGTGAACGTCTGTGAATTATGAGGCTGTAAGCCCGTGTTAGGGCAGAAAAACATTTTTTTTTTTTTTTTTTGAGAACGACTATGATCGACCCAAATTATTTCCAGATTTAACCTTTTCTTGGTGTGAGTTCAGCAATATGTATTTTTATGAAAAGTAAGGCATTTTAAAAACTGATCCATGTGAATTCGAATTATCTGGAGGTAATAAACACTCTAATCAGACTTTCAGATTTGAGAACGTGAGCCCTAATGCCACAATGACGAGTCTCCTAGGAGAGCCAGAAGAGTTTCATGAGAAACTTCAAACATGTTAGTAAACTGTCCCTACGCTATTTTCTCTGTCAGGTTCGGGGGCACACGGTGGGGCGGGGCGCACGGTAGGGCGGGGCACACGGTGGGGCGGGGCGCACGGTAGGGCGGGGTGCACAGAGCATGGCAACTGAAGTTCCAAGCTGAGTTCTGCCCCCGAGGAACCGCGAGGCCTGGGCAAGCCTTACAACCCCCTGGCCTCAGTTTCCCCATTCACACACGGCATTGCATAACTACCCTGCAGGGCCGCTGAGGATTTACAGCAGACCGCCACAGAGAGTGGCTGGGTAGGTGATGCCGCATTTATCATGCAAGAGGAAGCAGGAATTACCCGAGTTTCTCGAAATAAGGTGCTTGGACAAAATTGTCAAAGAACAAACGGATATTTCTTTTTGAGTTAAGCCAGCTGCGTGAGTCAGTGTGGGACAGCTCCCCCACACTCCGCGTTTCCGGCGGAGGCCGGACATTGATGCTTACCCCGCCGACTCGCTCAAAGTGGTCCCCGTCTTTGTCAAAATCTATCAGGTGTCCGTTAAACGACCAAGTAAACACGATGTCCAGCGAGTGGTCATGGGTCACCTGGCACGTCAGAACAATGCTTTCTCCGACGGTGACGTCCATGCTGGAAGGGGGCACCATCACCCTTGTTGGATCTGCAGAACGAAAACACGACAAACCAACCAAGGCTGTGGGCTTGTGTGGAAACAAACGTAGCATCCAGGAAGGTGAAACACTGAGTAGAGTTTCACTTTATTTCTTTTTCAGGCTGTGACCTGCAAACTTCAGTCATCTAGGAAGCTCAGATTCAGGCCAAGAGGTCATTTTTAATAAGAAAAGATGAAAATATGCATTATGCCAACCTTCCCAGAGCAACGGGACCCAGCTGGGGAGCACTGAGGTTGGTTAGATCTGCTAAGAAGCTTCTGGAAGGGCCTGCTCTGAAATCAGCTCTTCATTTCAGTATAATTTCCTCCAGTCTTTTCTGTCCATGGCTTTTGTTCTGTTTTGCACTATTATAAACATGCTACGCATATGATTTTCCTGTCTTAGCTCTACTTGATATAATATTAGGTATGTTTACATCTTTACTCTTTTTTTTCTTAATCTGCTAATGCATTATTAAGTTTGTAAGTTTTAACCATTCGGAAGTAGTAGACATTTTTGCACATTTTATTATAGCTATAGTTATTAATCATGCTGTAATGACCACGACTGACAAAGTGATACATGTGTTACTTCTTTAAAAAGAGGTCTACGAATCTGTTGTAAGGTCACTTTTCACATTATAGTTTGAGCTGGAGATGGAATGGCTTGCTTAGCTGAGACGGTGTGTGAGCTGGCACACACACCCCAAGGCTACACTCACACACAGGTGGTCCCACCTGTCACTGCAACTCGGTGTCATAAATAGTGTCAGAGAGTGCACCAGTGGAAAGCGATCTCAGGTCAATACAAAAGTCATGTAAGTGACTAAAGAGTGAAATTCTGAATTCGGCCATATTCTGGAAATTTCTCTGCACTACACCAAATCAAACAAAACCAGCCCAACAAATCATGGCCAAGAACACATCCAGAGCAAACAAAACGACAAAGAACACACGATGGTCCCCTCCTGTCTTCCTGGGACGGCGGTTCAGGCGGGGGGTGAGGAAGCTTTCAGTGAGTGTCCTTCTTACAGCAGAGTCTCCGCTGGGGACTTTGAAATGATATCTCCTGGGAGACTTTGACGGATCTTTTTTCCAACAACCCGTGCTAAACTTTCCTCTTTAAAGAGAGGATTTAGAACAGGTTTCCCGCCCTTTTATCCAATGATGGAAAGCGACCATCTCTGATCATTAGAATAGAAAAGTCCGTGTCCCACAGATAGATGCTGGTCTGGTGGTGGGACACGCTCGTTGTTTTCTGAAAACGGAAAAAATCATGTTACGTGGGCTGGTGAGCTTTCGGTCACCGTTGAATGAGTAATAGCCATGAAATGAGTGAAAGCAGGGAATGCCAGCCAGGGGGCCTCTCTCTTATTCCCAAACCCGAGGCTTTTGCAAGTCACATAATCAAAATCCGCTCTATTGATTAAATGATTGGCAGGAATAGATACAGATTGAGTTTGTTTGTTTGTTTTTTAAATGAGGGAAGGAGTCGAGAGCAAATCACCTTAGAAGAATTCCCAGCAAAACAAACAAACGAACAAAACTAGGAATAGCTTCATTTTGACTCAACATGTCACTTATCACTTTCGGATTCAAATTTTCCCTCACCTATAAATGAATAATACCTGGCTAAAATGATAGGCATCTATGGTTTTTACGTGGCAAGACGTTGCCCAGTTCTATTATCCACAGCCATCCCCTGACTTTGCCTGTAACGATTCAGATTTTCATTTTACTGTATCTTCATTCATTTGTTCATCTGTCCAGCAAGCACGTATTGTGTGTTCCACGGATGACAGCGTCCTCTATGATGAGAAATATAACAGAGAATGAGGGAGTAACGTTTGTAATAACTGAGCCCCTTATGTCCTGGACACGGCGTTAAGCATCTTCGTGGGTTATTTCATTTCTTCTTAACGAGTAGGTATTATCGTCCCTACCTAACGAATGAGGGAAGCTGGTGGACGAGTGGGCCGAAGGAACTCTCTGCCGTGCTAAGCTGCTGCTTTTCATTTCGCCGAAAACACGATCTCCGTTCACAGATCATCCACAGAACAGTCTAAGGGCACAACCCCGCAATTTGCGCTCTTCATTATGTGTAGTCAACCGAAGATATTTAAATGCAGAAGAGATTCAGAGAAGGCCACGCAGTGAAGACGGTTTCAGAGGGTTTTAGTGCAAGAGTAATGAAGTTGCTGCCTTAGGCAGGTCAGAAGCAGCGATGATTTTCTGCTGAAAATGCTGATGCTAGCTCTAAGCTTACATATCAGACTCGTGAGTGCAGAGTCAGAGAGCCAGGCTCAAGAGTTTAAGAATGTCTTGGCTTCCTGTCCCTGACAACTTCCGAGTGAGCAGCAAAGGGCTGGCACATGCCTCAGTGCCTAGAGTCATGTGCAATTCTGGCTCCCATGTGTTAATTGACATTTGTTCCCTGAAGAAGTGTTCATCCATTCACGCACAGGCAGGGATCTGGGGCAGATTTCGTTATTGGTGAACTCAGCTTCCTGTGAACTGAGGACCAGAGATGTCCCTTAACTCAAGGACGGTGGCAGCACAGTCGCTGCACTGATAGCTGCTGATTCATTCACTTAGTTCTCGTCACCAATTCACATTCTCAGCCCCGAAGTAGCAAGAATCAATGCACAGCAAGGTGTGCAATGTACACACACCAGAGGGGTGCCCTCGGGACCAGAGAGGATTAAACGGAAGAGGTTTAAAACCTCATCGGCTCTCTGTTTTCTCAAATCGTATGCTTATTCAGAAGTCCTGTTTTCTGTGTCGTGAATTCTGATGCTTTTCACTCGATTAATTTCCTTAAATTTGAGTACAAACACGGTACACAAACAGATGGCTTCTTCAAAACAAAACTGTCTCCCCTCCTTTGGTTTTAATTCATCAAGATCAGGAAGAACTTCTATTTACGACTTCTGCTCTGGAGAGTAACTCCAACTATTGTTCTGTGCGTAGCACTCTCAAAGGCAATTACAACTCAAGATGTGAAGCGATGTCTGGGTTTGGAAGTAATTAAATAGCAACAACAAACAGGACCGACGACACCCCTAAACTTCCCTGCTCACGGTTGGTCCACCATGCGGAGAATGATAAATTCAGAACTCTGTAGACCTGATGCTTAAACATATACATGTACTTACCAAGTGCCTAATCCTCCTAGAGTTAAAAAAAATATTCTTTTATGTTCTGTAGTGTTCCATATGTTACGTTCTGTGATACGTAGAGGACAGAAAGTAAACCAAGCACTTTGTTCTAAAGATCACGGCAACCATGAGAGTTAATCATTCACCACTGTGTTGATGATTAGGTCAACAGTCAGATGTGTAAATTATAACACGTTATCCAATTCATAACACGTTCTGACTCGCACCGTGAAAGCTTTCTGATTTACGGCTTTTATCATCCGTAACAATGAGTGTCTGCGCGTCCGCAGGATAAGAATCCCATTGTGATGCCACTTCTCCTAGGCCATTCCAGCCTTCCCGCTGTGGCCGAGCTGCCTCTCACTCATGGGGCCGAGACAGTCACTCGGTGTCTAGCGGGAAAGCACGTGAAGTATGCAATGGTAATCTTCATTCACGGAGGGTACGTGTCTCCTTTTGTTGGTGAATTTCTTCATGGCGATGGTTTGATGATACCTTTTGGTCAGGTTGTGTCTTTTTTCGTATATTAATTTTTATAGAGAACATGTTAAATATCAGGCACTTCAAGAACGGGAGCTCGTCAAAGAGCTGACAAGTCAGCTCATCTCAGACGACACAAGGGGGACTGGACAGAGAACTCTTTTTAATAGCCAGATGCCACAGCAAAGACGGTTGATTAATGATCACGGTACACCCGGAGGTAGCATGTCTTGGGGTGATTCAGCCCTCTCTAGCTGGTCCCATTATTTTTCAATAAAAATAAAACCAGTGCCGAATGAACTATATTTATCAATTCTGCAGAAAACACACATCTAAAAGGAATACCCTAAGCACTGGATGAGAATTAAAGTTCACAGTGATTTGAAGCTGGACAAATTCTTTCGTTTAGGATGAAATTTAATAGGGACAAAGGCAAAAAGCTACACTTAGAAAATCAGCTGCACGGGTGCAGGCTCAGTTAGACAGCATTGGGGGTTCACAGGAAAAAGGCTTGAGCTTTTCGGTGTCGACAGCCAGAGAAAGCTAAGGCCATCCTTGGTCGCGTTCACCGCATGTGATGGTCCATCTCAGAGAGGTAAAAGCCCCATTGCATTTTGCACTAACGGGACCAGAGAGCTCGCTAAGCGTCTTTGAATTCGTCGACAGATTCACGGGCCTAGGCTAGTGAAAGGCTAATAAATCTCTAACAGCTAAAATAGCTGAAAGTATCTGACCCAAGAACAAGAAATTCGAGGGGACAGAACAGAGGTCCTCAAATACGTGAAGGGGCTACAGGCAGAAGGTGACTTCAGCTTATCTCGTGTCGTCCCAGAGTGGAGAGCAGAGCGTGACGACAAAGGCGTGTGCCGGCTCTGCCATGTACGGGGTGACTTTCTGACGATCCGATCTTTCTCACAGGGCGAGGGTCCGTCTCAGAGAAATAATCGCCACGTTGGGAAGTATTCGAGCAGAGGTGGCACCCTCAGGCAGGGTGACAATGAAGTCCAGCCAGGCTGGACGACGCCCGTGATCTCTCTGGGGACCATGGGAATCCAAGCCCCCTCCACAGTTCTCCCAACCACCTTCTCCTGTGAGGTTCACGCGCGCTACCTGTCTGCTCCGTTTCTTCCACAGTGAGCTTGCGCGCCGGTGCGAAACGTCACTTACACAGACCCCGTGCGTCCCTGTCGTCAGGCCCCTGAGGGCCGGCGGCCACAGCTCACGCTGCCTGGCGCCCGGCTCCATCCCGCCTCACGCCAGTGGCTGACAATCGGAGAACCGTGGATGTGGTGACGGACGAGACCGAGGCCCGAACCAGAAGAGCTGGAGGTCGGGAAGCGTCCTGCGTGCTTCTCACTCTGCGCCCTGACG